AACCCGTTTCCCATTGTCACGCCATAACTTGAGAATGGTTAGTCTGATTTAGCTGACTTTTTTGTTGTTGTGTTTGGTATCGTCAGGAGAAGGTTCTTATGATAGGAAAAAGTCCTGAAAATCCTACGGGAATGAGAGAAACGGGATTGCGCGTACCAAGTCGCGGGCAGAAGCTAGTCTATATATTTAAAAATGAAACCAGATTTCCGTTGTCACGACTTAGCATGATAACGGCTTGACCGATTTGGCAGATGTTTTTTGTTGTATTTGTTATTATTAGGAGAAGGTTCTCAAGACAGAAAAAATCCTGAAAATCGTGCTTACGAAGTCGCGGGTAGAAGCTAGTTAGTTATAATTCTAAAGTTATAGTTTTATTTCGTTAAAAGCAACCACAATTTGTGGATCGTGTATTTTTTTGGTTTATGACTTCTTTAAACTTAGGTTAACAATTTAAGTTTCCACATTTTCGAATTTTCCAACGTATAGTAATGTTGTCATTCTTTTAATTTAATAAGTTTCATGAATAAAAATACAAGTAATATTCACATATTGGTTATTCGTTATTTTATGTTTTATGTTGTTAGGTATTTAAAGTACAAAGTTTTCAAGGAGGAAATCGGGAAAACAAAGAAAATATTCAACTGTGAGCATGCAGTTTTATAAACAACAGTCGTTGTAACACAACAGTATTTTAGCGTATATTATACTCCGTCTCTTTGTTCCCGGTAAATCCCGACAAAATATTTACTTAAATGAATGTTTCCAGACAAAATTTTCAACGAAACGAATATTAGAATTTTGCTGAGGCTACCCCTTCCATTGGTATCGGAATGCCAACAAATAATATCGTTGTTACAAACATTGTCGTGTTTATTATTACAAGTGGCGTGCTCTCAAGGCGGTCGGATCGTGAGAAAACTTCACTGTGTGGAAAAATCAAGGACACGAGGAAGTTTTTAAGGTCTTACCGTACCATGCGCGCTGCATGGAAGGCATAGTAAAAAGCATATACAATTAGCTTTATAAAGTGACTGAGTCCCGAAAAAAATGCGTATGCACTATTTCTCAGTACCATAGTATAGTCTTCAAGAGAAAGATGCTCTATAGGCACTATAAAATACAAATACTGGAATCTTAATACTAAAAACAGACGCTACAGTCTTTGGTTTTTTAAAAAAGTAAAGTTACATTACTACACTCACTAATGGTGTCCGAAGTTCAAAGTTATATCAAGAATGTATACAAAAGTAAACAAAACTGCGTATAACATTAGGTAGGTAGGGTTATAAACGAAAAGGTACATATAAAATGACAGGTCATTTTTGTACCGTACCTTGTCATACAAGTTATTAATCATTTTAAAGAAGACGTGTAACAGGATCCTAGCATTATCAAATTAGGCTCGGAAAATGAACAACATAAAAGTACCCATTTACGTATACACGGCCACGGCACATCTATCTTTACAAAACCAGTTTATCCTGGTGTCGCGTCGCATCATCTTTCCGCACATTTAACGTTCAGTTTATACTGGTTATGTAAAGCTCGATGTGTAGCCGTGTGTATAAACTCGATTCAAGATATAGGTAATGCTGCATTAGCTCAACTGTTCTTTTTGTATATTTGCGACCAGTACCTATTTGTGTGACAGATACTGGTCGCCAAACTTGATACCTCTATTCTTTTAGAAGCGTGACTATTACCAACCACCTGTAAGGACTGCTGATATTGATTAATCAGAATCAGAGCTTTTATAAGGGTAGTTCCGCATAAGTAGTTGCATTGCTATTGATATAGCAATGCAACTATATTGCAAAATGCAATATAATGCCATGACGTATTGATATACGTCATGGCATTTCATAGACAGATGATCTTTATTAAAATAAAGCATGAAAATTTTCTTAATTTGGGATTCCTAGCAGTCAAAACATTATATTTGACCTGGCCAGCATAATAGGTGATGTTACTGGTGATAGACAAACTCTACTTCATCAACGATATAAAAATAGTCTAGATGGAAGAGAGAACATTAATTTATTTCACAATTTATGAAAACAGCTACACTTGCGGAAACTTATGCTATAAATACAACACATACATAGCTTTTAATAACAGTGATTCTGTGGTAACAAAAAAGCTATAAGTAGATACAACCAATGTTTATTATTTTTTTACTCAACTACGTAACAGGGGTATGGATCGATACTGGGTACGTCGGTATCTGTGAGATATCTATTTTATTTAATGGTTATATTTAGTATTGCAGAATAACTCGAGTAAATAGTAATTACCTTTGAGGTGTGTTTTCTGCAATCGGTGTTTGTATGGATGGTCATATAGTACCATACCTAAATCTCCATGTTTACGTTTATTTCTTGAAGTAGTAGTGAGCAATATAATAACATTGCAAGTAAAATATTGTTTCAAGCGTGATCTTCGGTATCTAAGCCAAAAATAAGTAACTGTTTTAGTAAGTAAGGTACTATGTATTTAAGCTTGTAGGTGTATCTTTTAATAAAGAAAATTGTCTTAGTTTTTTATACAAATTTGACCTTTATTTTCTTTATAAATAAATGAATATTTGAGTAAACCTAGACTGATAATCCTTTGAATGTAGTCGTAGGCGTCACAAAGGACAATTTTATTTATAGCGAGTTCTTTATCCTTCTTCTTTTTAACTAAAGGACCTTATTGTGAATTTGGAATAAATAAACGATTCATATAAGACATTTTGAAGGAGAAAAGTTCTACCAAAAATAAGTATAAAAATAAGTAAGCGCTGTAAGTACCTATAGTATTTTTGTATATATTTATTAGTTGTTGTTGTTGACTGCACGGTTGGCGCGTTGGCTGGGCAACTGGCTGCCGCGCAACGTGTCGCGGGTTCGATTCCCGCACGGAACAACTCTTTGTGTGAAAAAAAAACAAATTTGATTTATGCTTATTTTTTTGGAGTTTCAGTATAAAATAGGATAATATACGCTACCTTACCAAGGATATTATTTGTGACACAATTTATAGATAACTAGAGAACAGCAATTAATTCACGCTGTTCAACTAACATCGATACTCGATAAGAACAGTGTAGTATCATTGATCATGTAACAGTATACCTCGTAAACCTTAGATACTGACAGCAGAGTCAATTTATCTGGAAATCCCATGATAATATGTGTACGTACTCGATTTTGCTCAACGACGACTTGATATACGTATACGTATGTATGAGTCGATAGCGATAAACTGGCAAACTGAACCCCGGTACACATATATTATGCATGCTCAATTTCATATTTAAAGCATCTGTGATGCGCTTTTGTTAGAGATAAAACGTTGACTATCTGTGGGTGAATCTGGTCGAGTCTGATTTGGTAAAAGTTTTCTCGATTTATATCTGGTTACTTCTTTGTTGACTGAGTAGTCATAAATAAGGCTGCTAAGTCAATGAATAGCTCTATGAATGGTTATCTATATGAAAATTGCATCAAATTCCCTTTAGTAGTGGGTTTTATTAAAGGCTAACTGACTGCCTCATTGGCCGAGTGGTCGCAAGTGCGACTGCCGGGCAAGGGGTCTCGGGTTCGATTCCCGGGTCGGGCAAAGTATTACTGGGTTTTTAAAAATCTCAGTAGTAGCACGGAGTCTGGAAAAATGTGCCCGGTATATGGCAATAGGCTCACCCCCTATTACATGGGACTCATAACATAAATAGTGAAAAGTGGGTGTTACATTGTACAGTGGCATTAAGTGCCGAAATGTGCACCTCTCCCTACCCCTTCGGGGATAAAAAGGCGTGATGTTATGTTTTATTAAAGGTTTGAATAGAAGAGTGCTTAACTCCGTTTTATAATAATTACTTAACGTTTTAAAAACAAATTCAGTAACTAGAGGTACTCTGTATTCGTAGATTCATGGCAGTTTGATGATTGACGCAATTTTAATCATTGCTCGCGTCCAACCCCTGCCCTAACGACCCTATTAATTCCAATTACACAAAACACACATGACACATGCCACGATATGATTAATAAATATAAAACCGCATAATAAACGGCTTTTTCTTCCTAGGTACTTTAATAAAACCATGTTCGTTCTATGCAATTACAATGAGGTTTATTAATTTGATTGGCTTTGTATACCGATTGTTTAAATTACTATTTCGATTTGGAAATTCTCAGTATGAGCTCAAAATTCAACATGGCAGCTGATGCATTATTTCGTTGCCAGAATATACACTGCTTCTGTTTTGTATTTACGCATCTTTGGGAAACAACAGACGCTATTTATTATACTATACTTATTTGTATAAAATATAATGTTGAAAAATAAATATAACACACAAAAGAACAACAAAGGGTTCGTTCACACGATCGATATTGTTCCGATAATTTTAAAATGTATCCGAGCAGGAAACGTATCGGGCGCGCATATATCAGAGTGGTCATGTGTGGGTGCACCATAAATCAGACAGTCCTACCCCTTCCACCGTAATATGAGTACATATTTGCAGGCCTTACAAGTTTTGATTACGTATACATACCAAAAGCTGGTTGTACCACGCCTCTTTTTCTACGAAGGTCAAGAGTGTTCTTCCTACAAGTACAATTTCCTCTCCATGATATATTTAATATTAGTCCCGTTGAAAGGAAAGGAGAACAAATTGCTAGACAACAAACCAATACTTAGGCAAACTTTAAGGACAATCGAAGACCGAAAAGCTCATAAAAATTTGAGAATCAGACTCTATATCTCTTGTTCAACAGATGTTCTTATGATCATGTACTTTTAAAATTACCATGTTCATTAGTTTATTAGATGTGGAAATACATACACACATCATACATACATATATAACCTCATGCCTGTCTCCCATGGTGATAGGCATAAACTATGGAACGCCAATTACTACGATTCTTACATACCTACCTCTTTCGCTTCATCCACAATCATCAGTCTTGTCAATCATGTGGAAATAAATTAGAAATATTTTGTTACAGAATGGCACACTATACGAGGTGGCCACAGGAGGTCAGATCTGGCACGAACCTACCACATATTGCGTGGAGATGATGTTCAACCAAGACTTTGCTGAGCCACGTCTGGTGGCTGCTGTATGCTTCGATGACGTAGTCACTGATGACAGTCCCATCCTCTACACTGCATATGCTGTCGGTAAGTTACAAGCTACTATTTTTACCTGTGAATTTCTTCTTGTTGTCTCTTACAATTTCCTTTGTATTATTTAGGATTAGGTAGGTAGCTAGGTACTGATGTTTAGTCCAATCTCGTGAGTGCGTATGTGGTGACTGGTGACGGTGTGTCGCGTATACCTCTAAACAAACTATTCAAGTAATTGAGAAATAAGTGCAAAATTATGGTGATGTAACAGTATTTTATCTGGTCAGTTATAATACCGCATCGAAATTACTAAAGATTGAATACTAGAAATATTCCTAAAATATTATTAAGGCTGGCGTAAAGCTAACAGAAGTTTTATGGACCGGAGATTCGTAATCCGTTAATCAAAGGCGGGTTCAACTGCAGTAACTGTTACAGTTAACAAAATAAAAATTAGTCTCACTGCAGGTATGTTACAACAGATTTTGGAACTAGTTACTAAATAGTTTTGGGTACCTGTCGTAAATTACATTAGGAGTGGCGACTGGGCCGGACAGGAACAGGCCATTAATCTAATCGTGGCAACCTCATTACAACGGCCTCAAATATTCTGTTGTCTTCAAGCAACATCGTAAATCTAATAATGACCTTAAGTATTCGTGTTTAGTGCTCATTTCGCTTAAAAAGTAACTGATAGTTCCCTCGTCAAAAACATCACATTGTTGACTCAACAAGGCAATAGGATATCCACTTTTACGACCCATGGGATAGGCTCGTAATGTCCGTTAATTATCCAAAAATACAGTCCACCACACGTTTATGGTGACAGTTTGACCACGACGGCGCCCTTATTACATAGGAATAAGGGTTGGTTTCGTAGTATAAATTATGTAATTTTATATCCGGACTGTTCGTTCTCGGAAACACTTAGTGTGTAATATTTCGGCCATGAATATTGATTGATTACTTTTTAAAAGTGTGTAGTGTTACTGAGCACATAGTGAACCGTTTGGTAATTCCACTTACTGGTCACTAAAACGTTTATTGTTTACTGATGTAATGGCAATCACGTTGAATAGAAGTTTAGACTGCAAAACGGTGTGATGAACTGGAAAATCCTTTGAGGTCTCATTCGGGCAGGACTTACTTTGGAAGTTCCGATACTGATCCTACATGAAAATAAAGTATCATGTACTAAGTTGGTACTAAATAACTATTTACTAGGTATTTCGGAAAATCCACGCTAATCTTTTAATAGAAATTAATAGCTATAATAATATTCTGTTCTCGATGAAGATTAGTAGATGTCAATATAAGAAGCTGAACGTGAAGCGGCTATAAATTCCTTTACGATGAACGTTCAACAAATCGTCCGCTGGTTTTACTGTTCGGCAAAAATATCGTTGTGCATTTCTCACACGCGACCATCCTATTTTCACGACGGGTTCTTTACCTAAACTTGAGATTTTTTGTTTGTTCGCCTGTTTGCTTGTATGAACATGAACGTTAGAATATTTGAAATACATAATTGGGCCGATTTGCAAATCTCAACAGGTTTATGAAAAGAGTAGGCGCATAATAATTGAATGTGTGCTACTCAATAGACAAAAGTCCACCTCAAATCAATGCGCGCAGATAACTAGGAACTGATACAAATAGTTGTATTATCGCTCCACTGCAGTCATTATAAACCAATTATGATAAAATAACTACTAATATTACTAACGCGTGCGTAATATACATGTGCGCATACAAACGCACCTGTTTGTCATTTGTTTTTGCATTATGCACCATGTGTATTTTGTGCAGGATTTAATAATTATGTGACCTTAAGATAGCTTGAATATTGTACATTTTTTTATACCTTAAACTGTCAAACACCAAGCGGTCACCGGTGACCGCAACCTATTGTTCTTTAATTGTGTCTATAAATACGGTACTCGACGAGTTAAGAAGCTTGAATATTGTACATTTTCACATCACCTACTTTGTGAGATCTGAAAGATTACAGTGAGATATAGGCACACAATTGATTAATGAAGTTAGTAAAACCCATTTACAAAGCCCCAGATGGTTGTTATTGCCTAAAATATAATCAGATCTGTCATCTAGTCGGGCATTCTAAAACCCTATTAATCTAAAACCTTCCGTCTTCATTTTCATAAGCTTTCAACCCATTTATTCAGGGATTTAGAATTGTTGGAAGAACAATTTTAAACAAGGCTTAGGTTCAGTTCATCGAATTTCGTACATAATATGTACTATGTTAGACAAACATTGATTTAAAATAATGTTTTTTTTTCATAACTTTTCAACTTTATAGTTTACTGGGATTGGCTAATCAGGCTAGATCAGCTTTAGGAGTGTCCCAAGGGAAATCTTTAAACTGGTATACCACCGAGGGACAAGTAGCAACTTCTTGTTGAAATTTTTGGTGATATAACTACGGTCCACAAGTCAAAGTAACAAAATTGATAATAAATTCTAGTTTAACATTTTTCCAGCGTAGTTAGAGGAGTGTAATACGCTTCTAACGTGAATCTCTTAGAATGAACTGGTGAGGTAAAATTGACAAGTTCTACCAAGAGTGGGAATTAGAGAACGTATGCCAAACATTATGTGTGCTAGTAAAGTTATTATAGGCGATCGTTTTCCACGCGTTTATGACGTTCAATACAAAATACAAGTTCATTAGTATGTCATGTAAATGACTAGAATAGAGCTTACTACAGACTATTACTATTTATTGCTAATTTGAATTATTTAATGCGTATTACACATGTGTTTGATATGAACATGTGTATCTCTCATCATACTTTTGAGGAAGTCTGTATTGTGGTAAATGCAGAATGAAATGAAAGAATAGCTACGTAATGCCAACTAATATCATTAGCCAATCTCAAATGAACGCAGTAAACCCGTTCATACGGAATGTGTATTTCGTATTTATATAAAAGCTGGTGGAACGGTGGTGGAGTATTCTGTATTAAAACTTAAGCGAAATGAACCGTTTTCCTACGCTGAACCAACAACTGTTCATACGTGCAGTGAATTTAACTCTCAGCTAAATTCCATCTTGAAATCTGAGTTAGATTCAAAAACGTTACTAACGTCTATTCTCAATAATCTATCAGAATCAGTCAGTAGGTAATTTTTATGTTGGTAGACTGTGATAGGTGTGTCCTATATCTAATCCTAGCTACTTCCGCGCTGTTTCACTCGCTCTACTCGGCGCCTATTAATCGTAGCGTGATATTTTATAGCCTTTCTCGATAAATGGGCTATCCAACACAGAAAGAATTTTTCAAATCGGACCAGTAGTTTCGCAGATTAGCGCGTTCAAACAAACAAACAAAACAACAAACTCTTCAGCTTTATAATATTATATAGTATAGATCTAGGCAAATCTATAGATAATTCGATGGATACGTTATCAAAGATGACTCTACTAAGGTCATCAACTATCACCAACAGGCTGTGATAGTTTGATGTTGGGTTTTTAGTAGAGTTCGGTCGGCAAAAGCCCTAACATACTGACTAACTTTTGTCACAAATTAATAAAAAATATTTTGTTCCAGGTTTAATCCTCTCAGTCCCATTTCTTCTGGCAACATTCCTAATCTACGCTTTCATTCCTGAACTAAGGAACCTGCACGGTATGTGCCTAATGGCGTACTGTGGTGGTCTGATCGTGGCCTACCCGTTCCTGGCTTATCTAAAGCTCCATGTTGGAAGGGTTGGCGTCGAGATGACAGGCTGTCTGGTTGTTGGTGAGTTGTCTTTTGTCTATATTAAATGTGCTTCGTTGGTCGACTAGCCGTAGTAAGAAGTCTTCTTTTAGTTCGATGCATGGGTCCTGGGTAGTGCTAATTTGCTAATTCTTAGCACTGAGTTTATACTTGTACGTAATGAATACAATATAATTATATCCTCCTGTTGCGCTAGACTAAGACAATTGGTGAAATGTGTGACACATCCACCATTCGTAAAATTAAAAGTGTAAAGTTCTGTTACTAAAAATTCCAAAGAGGTCAGTAGTAACTTTTGTAGAAATGTTTTATATTCTGTGGCTGAATGTGGTTACAGATTCGTTCGTCAAACCAATTAAGTACGCACGAGTGCAGCTTGCAATTTACTGTGGATTTGTAACACAAATATATCGCAGCACTTCCTTGTTATACGGTTTCTCAATAACAAAATATATACGAGTAACCTCAAATTTTAATTCATTTTTCTCTTTAGAAATTAATTTATTATTTTCTTGCATTGCAACTGGTGTAAAAATGTAATAAAATTTCTTACTTTTATATACTTTCCATAATAGGCATGCTCAAATAGCTGGCAATAAATGTTATTGCTATGTCTCCCATTAACACTTAATCGAATGGCTAATTGGTAGTTCTGATAGTCTCCACTAAAATCAGAAGCGAGACGTTTATTGGTTATTATTTTTAGTTTAATGGAAAAGCGCGCGAATTGCTTGCTTACCTAGTTTATGGTCGCGTTCATAAAAGCGCCATCTTTTTTATCATGCTAATTAAAGTAAGTTTATAGCTCTTTATTATTTGCTTAGATATGTTTTGCGAGATAAAGATAGTTTTAATGCATCATAAAATATTATATTTTCCGAAATACATATCTTTTGTATTAATATTCAAAGTAATAACTAAACACCAATCCTGCGGTGGACAGAAACTATTAATATTAATGAACACACGCCTAAGATATGCTAATACCGGGAATTATTCGAAATTGGGTTAAATATCACAAGAGGCCATTCTTGTTCCCGATTTTATCGCTAGATCATAAAATCTTTGATTAAATCCCTGAACTTCGAATACTGTTGCTACCTCTATGTACTCTCAAGTATATCACGTAGTTAAACAAAATACTTTTATCATAAATTCCTTCTAATGTGTAGTTCGTCTTGTTATTAGTAGGATGACCCTCATTAGTGGATAGTAATTAGCTAATCAGCGACATAGGTACTTTGTTACGTCAGTTAAACAATCTGTCTTACTTTCACTAGTGTAAAACATATCACGGCTAATATCCTGAATAATTACGGACATGGCCACACCCTCCATAGTTAGTAAGTAAACGTAATTTACCTGAGTGTATAACACAGATATTGGGTCCGCTAATGTAATTAAAAAAACATGTAATTACTGTACCTACAAGAGTAATACAATTTGACATATTACGGTAGTGCTACTGGCTCGCAGAAATGTCATTTACTTATGTGGCCAATGAGGTTTATAACAAATAGTTTGCATATAGCAGTTGCGTGTCCTGTTTTTGGACAAAAATGTAGTTGTGAGTTCTAAAATAATTATAATAAAAAGCTTTTTATTATAATTATTTTACTTTCATTTGTGACTTAGTAAAAACTTTGTTCATTTGAATAATTTTATTCGCAGGTCAAATTAAGTCAGGGCATAATTAAATTTCCGTGCAGGCCTTTCGCCATACGAATGAATGTTAGGCCAATCCTTAGGGAGGGTCGGAACTTATGAAAATTCATACTGGCACCATTAATTTCTTTGCGTTTGTTTCAGCTTTGAGTTCTAAACGTTAATTAACAGTTTTAAGTACGTTTTGTTGAATACTTTGCTTTGTTGTTATATGAGAAAACAAAAAGATTATTAAATATACCTGTCCAATTGCCAAAATTATTAATTAACCAGACTCATGTATACCTGCTTTGAATGAAATCTAGGTTCCTATGAATAATACCGTATACCGTAACCTTTTCTTGATATAATATTTTCATAACAAATCTTAGAAATGAACCTACCATCATTTTACTAGTCTAGTCTGCCGCACAACAACCGATTTCATGAACATTTAAACAACTCTAGAATGTCAAGCAACAATCCTATTAATATCTTTGCAGTAAAACTTCACGTTTTACCTTGATGTTAAACACGAAAGACGCGCACATGTCAAAACAATAAAAATAATGTCTTTGAAAATGGTGTAGATTAGATAAAAGAGATATTCTTTCTTTTCTTAATAACGCCCACGCCCACGGTATATGGTTATATCTTTAGTTATAAACAAACGTTCATATAGATTAGTTACCAATATACAACTATTCAGTAGTAGCCTCACCAAGACTGAATGAATGGAATTAGAATACTGAATACTGAAATACAACAATTTTGCTTGCTGACAATCCCCTTAGCACGTGTATTTGAATTATATTAAGTCATCTCCGGACCGCCCACGGGTTTGTTCTGTACGAATCACACTTCACATGAGGTTAATAAACTAATGTGACCCAGACAACCAGACAATTGATATCAATCATACCGTAATGTGATCTTATATCATCCCAATTATATGACACATATTGTAAAGAGTTAAACGTGACATTGGGCCACCATCCGAGAGGAAGTTTGTGAGGTAATATTGCCTAAACTTTTGTACTATCGTGGTTTTTTTTTTATATATTGCATTTCTTATTCTCCACGGACTCTTGTCCGTGCCCTTGTCATTCCATTACATTTTCTTTTAATTTACAGTCAAAATTAATTGTTACAGAAATCTTACGTGCTACATTAACTACATTTTTTTTTCACAAAGAAGGTTGTGTCTAATATCTATATATACACAATACATGTTTTATTACATTTACATTAACCTTACTGGATCGGCCCACACGCGCGATGAGCGAGCCGACCTGCTCCAGCAGAAGGCGCCCGTTCACGAGCATGACTTGAGGGCCAGCAATCGGTCCGATCAACCATTTCATAGGGAACGGAGCGACCCAGTCCACAGCGCCACCGACTGTAGAACATTTAAGAATGCATGACGTCTGCTCACGCAGCAGTAAGCCGATTCCAGTAGTGCCAATGGATTTTGTCAGTCTTATTGATAAAATTTACATTAAATTTACATTACTATCGTGGTTTAAGACGCTCGCTTCTCACACATGAGAGTGCTGGTTCGAAACATACTAACGGCAAGTACCAATATGACTTTCACCGAGTACTTTCTAAGATTATTTAGACACCACTGACAAACGGTGAAGGAAAACATCGTGAGGAAACCTGGGCTTATAATTTCTTATTATAAATTTGAAATCTCTAACCCGCATTGAGTAAGCGTGGTGATTAATGCTCAAACCTTCTCCGTGTGAGAAGAGATTTTGCAGTGGGCACTTAAAGGTTGTTGATGTATGATGTATGTACTGCCCAATCTAATGCTGTGCTAATGTCATACTTATACAAAGCAAACTCAAAATCATCAATTAGACCAGAAAAGCACTTTTGATCATCAAACAAAATATTATTGATCTGTCCTCTAGTGAAGCTATTTGCTCTAGTACAATGCTAGTGTTCGTGTTAATCATTATATTACCTGCTACAAGACGTCCGTTACTGAGCATACCTCTCCTAATAGACCGTAGGATTAGATAGATTATAGTTTTAGATGATAGGATAGATTATACTTCCCTAAAAACCTTGTTATTTTTACACCCTCTCTATCTTTATCTGATCGACAGTTTAATCAGCCATAACCATTCGTTTGTCGACGCAATGAGTTTTTTAATTAAAACAAATTATGATCCCGATGTTAAATTTTTTAAACCAAATCTATATTAAGTACTTACGGTTAGATTAAACATAGAAAGCATGTTTTTCATAGTGATGTAGGTTCTAATATTAAACTTAAACGATAAAGCAAGCTATTCCCATTATATCTATTTGGAAACTGTAGGCATTATATGAGATCTCGATAATTCCCCAACGTTTACGCTCAAATAAATTCCAAGATAACAATGTACGGAATGTAGGAGGGAACGGAGACAAAGACTTGTCCATTTTTTATATGTATATTATGTTTGTATTTCTATTATATACTTCTTTTTGAAGTTATTGAGAATATTGGACAATAGAAATAGGTCGCAACGAAACGAACTGTCAGCCAATGTAAAGTGTCTATTTAAGACCGTCCATTCCGATATATTTGGAAGTTATAATAGGGGTACAAAGTGTTCGTATGCTCTTCACATAATGTGTTATCGCTTACGAGCTTTGTCCTTTTGTTGGGGCAGAGGGCGTCTATACCTCCATCTCATCATCATCATAAAGCCGGGAGGTATGTTAGTAATCACCTACGCATTAAAAAAATAGGATATGATTATTCTATACATATTACATGGAAAGTACTAAGGTAAATAGGTAAGATAGTGGAATTTACCTTACCAATTTATTTTAGTCCTTTTCTGCTTCATATCTACACAAATTTTTTCGTCATGAACCTCTACTTATGTTTATGTCGGATATATATCTACGCGAGATACAATGCTTTTTCTATTGTGTCTTAAATACCGACATATAAGAGGTTAAACATAAAAAATTGGAAAGAATTAAAAACTAATACTTACTAAAATAAAACCAATAGAGTACAATAAACATAATATATATATTTATCTATAAAACTATTCCATATTACCTAATATAAAAAGTTAGTATATGATAACTACACAAAAAACAAGTAATAGTTGAAATCAGTTATTAATTTCTGCCGTAAATCAATGACTCGTAAATAATTAACACCTAAATAGGTCTTCCTAATTATTCCTGGAAATTCAGGCATGTCATAAGCAATTAATGTAGTAGATACTAACAGTACTAATTAGAACATTGACGTCTACAATACATTACATACGTGGGGTACAACAAAAACTTTGTTAAGGAAATAATATAAAATGAGACAAATAAGTCACTTGTGCACCTATGAGTCATTTATTTGCAATTTTGCATAATTAGTCATGTTCATATCTGACCATACCATACAGCCAAAATGACTGGTCAGATGTAGATGAATTACGTAAAACTGCCAGCCTCCTTGCTGGAATGATAGTTGAGTAGAAAAATAAAAGCTTATGGAGACTAGATTTATTGACTCTTGTGTATTGAGTGTTCTCTATACTATACAAAATGTTATTAAGAAATGACCGATGACTAGATCTCAATGTACTGATAATCTTAGAATGTATAACATGATTCAAATGAACATTGGGCTGGTTCTCTTATAGAAGATCCACAAATAGTTGTCCTGGATATCAAGGGTAGATTGGATGATATTTTACTGAGACTAGAGAAAATCTTAGTTTTAGAGAAAATTAAAGTATTGATACACATAAGACTGCCTCGTTGGCCGAGTGGGCGCAAGTGCGACTCCGGGCAAGGGGTCTCGGGTTCGATTCCCGGGTCGGGCAAAGTAATACTGGGTTTTTAAAAAAATCTCAGTAGTAGCACGGAGTCTGGAATTGTGCCCGGTATATGGTGGTATAGAACTATAGAGTAACCCCCTATTAAATGGGACTCATAACAGAAATAGTGAAAAGTGGGTGTTACATTGTACAGTGGTATAATGTGCACCTCTGCTTACCCGTTCGGGGATAAAAGGCGTGATGTTATGTTATGTGATAAATATCTAGTTGGATCAAATAATAAATCCTTCATTACATATCATATGCATAAAAACTATTCACAAGGCATTCTGAGCCATATTTACATACCAATACGCGTAGCATTGTAATATTTTTAGTATTTATTACTGAATGCAAACGGCTCGTTTCAAACTCGAACGCCTACTATTTCGCGGTAACTCCGGAAAAATACTCGAATATGTTGCAATATTTACGTTCCGATTGATTTGGGAATGAAAGAAAAAAAAACAGCGCGTCAATCGACCAGATGGTTCTCTTCCAATGCAATTTGTTGAAGGTTTTTCCTATAGTAGCTCGGTATGATACGTACGGATATACAATATTGCTAACGAGAGCAGGCTTCCGACAAAATTGAACTTTTCGACTACGACATTTTCGATACTTCAAAATCCACCTACGCCTTTTTACTTACTACACCATCTACTCGATACACATTTATGAATTTAAGACGTTCCTTCTAGAACTAGGTACTATATTTCCGACCTTAGATCCGGAAACGTCACTCACATAATTTTCCCGAATTACGTACAAACGACCTTTTCAGAGATTAGTGAAGGGATTAATTAGGAACAAAAGCATTAATTCAACTTGATATATAACACCTAATTAACGACACTGGTTAATGACGTGATCAAAAGGGAATTGTTCTAAATCGCACATTAAGATTTCCACCTCACACGAATTTATTGAATCACTAAAGTCAGCCATTACTTCCTACTGCTTATTTTAAAACAAATATAGGTGCCAAAATGTTACCATCACCTGTTTTGCGTCTTCGGATGGTAATGACAAACTTATTATCGTTGGGCTACGGTATTGTATAAATATTTCATGCTATGTAGAAATACAATCGTAAACTTGTGTTGCACATTATGTATTTAATACAACAAATAGTGCATTATTTCCTCGTTCCAGTGTTCTATTAAGGGCTATCGATATATTTTTGGAATTCCCATTTGGAGACTCGATAGTATCTTTACGTGTTTGGCATTGCGTTTTCCTGTCTGTTACACAAAATTAATTAAACATGGACCAGTCAATAACGGATACATATTTATTAATTACGCTTTTGGACAAAAAAGTGTGATGTATAAAGAAAATAATACATTGATTGGTTATTCTAGAGTTCTTGCGTATTTTAATGTCACAATATTCCGCTAATTGGTTTCATTTTCATACGCAAAGCGTCTGTTAATATATTCTCCGAAGCTTAGCAGTTGACCCAAATATCAATGAAGGAAATTCTTGCACGTTTTATTTATTATCTTTATACCTGCGTTACGTACCTATGTACATATATATAGAAGGATATGGTTTGCTTTTATCTATAGTGTATAGGCCGGCGCCGGCGATTAATTTCATCACAGTTTTTGTTTATTTTGTTTTTACGTTTATTTATATTTTTCAGCGTTCGTCGTTTACTACGCATTCCAAACGTCATTCTTCTGGCTAAACGTCATGTGCTTCGATATTTGGAGGACTTTCAGGTAAATAAACACATTTATATAATTAGCTATATATAAGGCTCTGACTATACATAATATTGGGTCTTAGTACCTAGGTATACATAAGTGCATACGAATCCTTAGCATCAATTGTCGCAAGTACAATTGAAGTCAATTAGTTATAATCAATTTTATTAACCCAGTGTTAAAGTTCACATTAAATAATTACTTAGCATTAGGGCATTTCAAGGAATAATTATTATTCTAACATTTTTTTATAAATATTTTATACAAATCTCTTTTTGTAAATACAAATGGTTTCAATATTACAATGTCATAATTCAGTATTTCAATGTTAAAATATGTGCGTCCAAGTGCAAAGTGTAAAATATTGAAATTGTTCCATATTTTCTATTTTATGGTAAACATGTGATGAAATATTTCATCGCATTATCGACGCCACATGCTATAATACAAATATAACCGATAGGAGACACAGAAGATGTATGGGCACGATGTGATAAAAACTGCCGGCGGATATCTACGGATATCGACGGATATCTCCTCAGATATCCGATATCTGCGGATATCTGGTGACGCCCGACAGCATGAAGGTTTTACGTCGCGTGGGAATTTGCGTGGGAATAACGTATACGAAAAAATATAGCAAATGGCGTTAAGTCTAACATCTGTGACGCTTTATAACCCACATCGATGTTTATACGTAAACGCAAAATTAAAAACGTTTGTTAGATTTTTTGAAAACACATTTACACGGTATGAATCGGTATACAGAAATGTCGGGAACTAGGTTTTCCCCATAACATTTGTTCAAGGAAAATTGTATGAATTTCACTAATAAAAGTTGAGTAAATATAGTTAGTTATCAAAATTAGGTACTTCACTTTAATAAACTGACTATCGTTAGGCTAGCATTAAAAGCGCTGCTAATAAAAGAGAACGTGCAGCCCACCGGTGCAGTGGCAATTGTTTTATTGATCCACGATGGTATACTATGAACAAAGAGTGCAATGAACAGGCTGGGACTGCAACGTGCTGCGTTGCAGTTGTATAATAAAAATATTTTTGAAATAAAATGCAATTTTAAACGAAGAAAGTGGCAAATGTCATTGATTAGTCAATGACAGTGGACAAAACTTTCCGTTTATTTATATTTTATTGACTTATTTTGTCGTCGCAATTTAACTATATATAATTATAATGAAAATATGAAGTTTCTCTTATTACTTCATTGAGGAATAACGAATAATATTTCCTCATTCCTATCATAACAAGAGCCCGTAATTTTCAATAGGTGGTTTCCAGCCAATACTATTTGATTTTCCCTCTCTTCATAGAGCGGAAAATGTAAACAAATTATTGTTATTATTATATTATTACCTATTTGTCTTCAATCAACTATGAAGCTATTTCCTCTTTATGTGGTTAATAATACGTAGGACCCATATGTATTATACAATGTGATTGCAATAATTAATTTTATATAGGTATTTAATTATATACTATGAATTATCCTTTTCCTAGCAATGGCACAGTAATTAGGCTGATGTTGATGATATATGAATTAGAAATGTCTATAAAATAGCTTAGACAAACTCAGAAACTTTAAATTCTTTGCCATAAAAGCAAAAACGGCAACGCACCTGTGACTCCTCTGGTGTTGCGGGTGTCCATGGGCGGCGCTGACCATCAGGTGATCCGTCTACTCGTTTGCCTCCTATTCCATAAAAAAAAAAGAATCTTGGTCCCTTCTGAATTTAAGCAGGTTTAGCAATAAAAATGGCAATGGCGAGGTAAGGTACTTTACCTTGAAGTATAAAAGTTTACTAACGTAGGCGTTAAAATAGCTTGTAGGTAAACGTCCCTTTTTGGAAGTAATATTAATATCAGCGCTTGAAGTTAAAGAATGATTTATAATCTTAATAAAAGTTCCTATCAACATTCTCATATTTCTGACACACTTATAATGTCACTACATTTCACCAGGATTTTACGGCAATATCATTTGATGATAACTTCCCTATAGATTATTTTACTCGATACCGAAAAGTCGGTTTCGCATTTTTCAATGGATTCATACTTAATATTGCACATATGGATCCATGTTATATGTCCGATAACACTGATAATCTTTACGCTTGTTGGTTCTACTTTGAAGTGGAGGACCATTATCGACGAATTAAGGTTATGTGATATAACTGATATGAGTTCATATGAGTGCTGCTATATTACCTAGATTCAAGGATCTGGTTACACTTAAAGCGTATACTACGCTAGTTGTAGGTGTATCCATACTTAGCTGAACGGTACCAAAAATAAGACATTGCATATATACAATTTTTTATAGGTGTGTAGTTATTGTTATTTGGATTAAGAAAAAAAATTCGCACAACGATCGAAAACACTAATGGAGAATTGACTAAGAATCGAGGGTTACTCAAGTGAATATACTGAGAAAAGCTCTACTAGTTTCGAGCTACAGAGTTGATGTTGTCAATAGCCTGTGCGACATAGCCGCGGCCGCGCACCCTGCTCATGAGGAAGAGCTCCTCTGTGGCTCGAAACTAGTAGAGCTTTCCTCAGTATATTCACGTTAGTAATCCGCGATTTTAGTTAATTTATAATATCGCACGATAGTCATTATAAAAACAAATGGAGAAATCCGAATTCAAAATTGAATACACAAAATTATAATTACCATATGCCTTGGATTGCAGATCAGCCACGCCGCCGTGTCTGAAGGGTGTCAGAGTCAGCTGCCACCTGTAGGTCCTTAAGCCTAGCTTACAGGTCGATGTCTGTAATGGCATGATACTCGTGTGCTCGAAATGCTATATTTTTGCTCGAAACTGCTCGATATTGCTCGTAAATGTTTAATTGTTTAATTAAATGGTACGGCACATTCACTTCATGGTATGCTACGCTATGTTGCATGTAGGTCGATGTGGGTGTGCAAATTCCGTAATGTCAGCAAAAATTCTCACCTCCCAGATTAATTCGAGTCAAAAACGACAAGATTATTTGTTTGTTGTGCACCATCATTACAAATGATGATAGAATGTCATGTTATTATAATAAGGTAGTTTCCTAAATTTTATTTTAATGTCCGTCTGTTAGATTAATTTAAAACTTTATACACGTATTTTTTTTTCTCACAAAACTAAATACTTTCGACGATATATTAATATGAAATATTGTGTGACGTCACAACATGCCACATTTCGTAGCACGTTATGACGTAACAACCTCCTACTCCTAAACTTAGAGCCATTTTATCTAAGTATTGTAACTTAATACGAGAAAATAAAAAAATACGTGTCTAATATTTTTTCATCATCTAACTGACGGACTAATTACATTTCGAATTTTGATACCTTGGACACTACCAAATTTCAATATCGTTATAGTGCTCTTTTCTTCCAAACAACCAGGACTTTTCACAGTTATATATTTCAACACTCATACGTTCCCTTCTCTTTTGTATTGCCTGAAACCTCTCAGGGATGATTGGTACCGGTGACATCACTGTTCTCAACTGAGCAAAAAAAAACAAATGACTGAAAATGCTACATGTCAATAACTTCTAGTATCCAGTCATATTCTATCGCATGAAGTGTACCCAATACCTTTTTGATGGTCATTAACATTTAGTTAAACACTTCCTATGATATAAATAAGATTTATTCTTATATTCGGAGACGTATAAAGATTTTTTTCATTTGTGATAAATCTACTGTTAAAGTAACAGTAAAGTTCGATGTTACCTATCATGTTTTAAATACATACATGCGTTGTCGTGTCTGTACTTATATTATACCATTTTTTACATATTAGCTCTAGAAAAAGACCTCGAAATTCGGACAGGTGCCCCTAATTCAACGAAACTCACTGTTGTTTTAAATTACTACAGGATGATGTCATCAAATATATACGTTTACCTGGATAACTGAAAGTTAAAAATTATCAATCGGAAATATACTTAGCACAATTATACATATTAGACTACCTCGTTGGCTGAGTGGTCGCAAGTGCGAATGCCGGGCAAGGGGTCTCGGGTTAGATTCCCGGGTCGGGCAAAGTATTACTAAGTTAAAAATTCTCAATAGTAGCACGGAGTCTGGAATTGTGCCCATTTACATAGGACTCAATTTCATAAATACTGGAAAGTGCTATATAACATTGTACAGTGGCAATAAGTGCCCTAACGTGCACCTCTGTTTACCCGGCGTGATGTTATGTAACTACATTTTTAACATTTCAGACGAGGCGGTTTTATACGAATACTGTCGTTCAATTACAGAGTAGAGGTCAGTCAACTTAGTTATAAAGGAAGTTTAAAATCGGCAGAGTGAGTAAATATTTTGTAGAAAGTCGTTTAGATTACCATCGATTGTATTGCGCTAGTAAGTTGATGCATATATACTAGAACCTTTACTAGTGTAGTATATTTAGTTATGTAGTTTTTATATGCCAAAAATCATTCAATTGATGGCTTTTAGTGAATACTTCGTAACTAGAAAATACGTAACGATTCAGGAGGCACAAAAAACTGTAAAATTTTTGCAGTTTTTTTGTGGAAATGTTACGTATTTCGCAAAGGTTACGTGACTTACAAAGATTTCACTATAAGCCATCGTAATACCAATAGATATTTCAATTGGACCACAAAACTGGTATTGAAATACCTAGAATTCCAATTTATCTTCATTGCCACATTTAAAGTAAATAATTATTCAATCGTGCTTTTCATTCTGCCGTTGAACAAAAAATGTTTGAGTTTCACACTTTGAAGTATGCTAAAGGCCATTAGATATAGTTTGTTCTAGACACGAGCACATTATTTTTAATTTGTAGTCAGGTGTTCCGCGAAGTCTAGGCTAGATACCTAGACTGAAGTGAAAGTTGAAACTAGAAAATTATGCGTAGTACTTAGGTAAGAAAAAAATTACTTGCTTTGTATCTGAATGTTTGCACTGTTGTATTGAATTGGTGTTGATTGTAGTTTTATCATTATTGTAATGAGATGTCTGCGAAGATATCCAGCAGGAACGTATTAAACTGTCATACACCGCGAGGACACCGGTTACCTCAACCTATTGTTCTTTAATTGTGTCTAATAATGACGGTACTCAAAGGGTTAAAACATAGAATATACTAATAGGAAAATACATAATAATATACATTGCATGTTTAGAAACACGAAGAATTATTTCAAATAGGGCCATGTCACACAAATTTCAAAGTTAGTAGGCAATCCTAAATCATTAGGGCTGTTAGCAATACGACTTGAGTATTACCTCTCAACTAAGCCACGCGGCATAGCGCGATACAAGAACAGAATTACAATGCGTATGTGCACCTAATATATATAGTCAATATATAGTAATATAGATATGTTTATATTAACTCACAATCGCGACGTAGTTTCATAAATACGTTGTATTGTAATATTATGCAGTTGTTACTTCTAGAAAACTAGTCACGTTTATTTTTAACTCATAAAGAGTACCTAGGGACCTAGGTAGCTCTTGTTCTAATGCATGTTAATTTTTAAATTGCTCACGTATTTAAGTATTTAGTTATAGTTAGTCGCGCTGTTCTATGTAGATATATTATATTGTTATAACGATAACGATTCGGTTTTCGAGCTTATTACTTCGATATGTCATCGTTAGTGTCAAATATAGTGCTCGTAGTCCGGATAGTTATCTGTAGAGGTCTTATATATTGTAAGAAGATCATTAAAAATTACCTCTGGGGTTATTCTATAACCATTATTCAGATTCGTGAAGCATGTGACTCAGCATAATATGTGCAATTTTTTAGCTCCACCAAAATGTCTATTATTAATTTTATGAATGCGCAAGTGTTTACAGAATGACTCAATTGGTTGTCAAGGTCGATTTTTAGTGCATGAATATAGAAACACTTAAATCAAAATTCATTTTGTCTGATTACTAGTTTTATCTAGAAATAAAAATAATTTAGAACAGGTCATGTCAAGTTTTTAGAGTAATGTAATAACATTAAAACGTTTTATTACAATAATTTTACACTCTCATACAGGGTGTCCCCTTTATCTACGAAGGTCGATCAGTCATGAAATTTAAGTGCTATTCATATTCATATAACATAAATGAGATAATAAACCATATCGGACGATAATATGTAATGTAGCATCAAAATGTAATGACCAATACATTTTGAAAACATCTCGATATAAATGTACCCTTATTATTAGTATTCATGTTTTAATTATGTTTCTAATGCTTCCTATCGAAGAGTCGGGAGTTTAGCTCAACAGTCGCAAAGGTAAGGTTGAACTGTAAATAGTAAATCTTTATATGTTTCATTTATGTTTTCCTATACCTATATTTGTGAACTGAGTCATAATATTGGACGTCAATGGATTGATTGATTGTCATGAGGAAAATTAAATAAATAATATAGAACAATATTTTTTATGAACTTTAAATAAATATGAAGCGTAAAATAATACAAGGTAAATATTTTTGGTGATAAATAAAGCTACTACGAGACTGCTACGCGGTGCTACGAGAAAGTTATTGCTACCTTTAACTTAAGAGCTACGTGGCGTAGCAAGTCGGTTACGAGCGTCGTAGCAAACGATAAAAAATGTCTCTAATACATTGTGTAAAAATATTTTGTTGTAAATTATTCTTTGTAAGATATAATAATAATAAAGAAACGATACATTATTATATACAAAGATAATTTTAATAGAACTATACTACGTTGATAGACTAATGCCCTAATATACACTAACTGAATATACATGGTACAAAACCAAAGTTTCAATAGTTCCCAGAGGTGCTTTATATTCCATTCAGAACCCCACTTAAATCCGGGTCACGTTGTGAAGACTGGCTGTTTAGAACACTTCTAATAGGCTAGTGATAGATGTGGTAGAAAATATATTTAGTCTGGCAATTTATTACTTGAAGTTTAAATTAATTATTTACTTCTCTTTGTGACTTTATAGGAGTACTGAGAAAAGCGCCCACGCATTGTTAAAGTGGTTGTTAAAGTGTATGTTAAAGTTGTTAAAGTATATTCATACTCGTAGGTCTCATACGGTGTGTTCACGTTATAACTTTCCAAAAAAGAGGAGGTTCTCAATTCGTCTGTATGTTTTTGTTTGTATTTATTTCATTAATTCTGTGATATGTGCATGGATGGTGTCTTGGTAGTCTGTGGTACATATTATATAATTTTTTTCTGTTAATGTAATTAGATCACACAACAGGTTTTGAAGATAATTACACTTATAGTGGTCCCATAAATAGTTTTTACAGTCATGAATTATGCTCACAATTTAAATAATAAAACATACATATGAAGGAATCCTTAGTGAGCTGCTTCATACTATTTTCCGGTACAGTGATTTTTCCATTAAGAACTTGTATCGCTTTAGGTTTCATATAGTATATGTCTCAGTATGTACGTAATATTATTAATGTTAATGAATTCTACCTTGACAATATTAAGTCCAATACTGTACCAATAAAATACTTATTTCGACATCAAAGCGTAGAAAAACCTTCCACGATAAGAATCCAAATGGTACTTCTTACTTCAGCTCCAAATCATCTAAAACTTTCTTCATGTAAATATAGTATTTATCATCAAACCCATAAAGACTATAATCCTATCTACCATATCAATCGAATTTCGCTGGGGTAAAAACCTCGGCTTTCAATTGCAGATCTTATAAAAACTTTGTTAACAATAACAGTGGCTATCGAGGTGGCAGCTCAAACAAAAGAAGAGAGCGAAGGAGGTTTCTGTTGTACGGCCTCTATGCTTGGGGCGTTCCGCTCATCCTCACTGGCATCACAGCTGGCATGCAGTTTGGAGACCTCCCCGCGCACATCATCAAACCCGGATTCGGAACTAAAAGATGCTGGTTTGTTGGTAAGTGAACTTTGTTTTTTAAGTTTTAAAGTTCATTTTGGAATGTTGTTTGATTGAAAATAAGTGTGATGTGATTTGATGTTAAGTATTCTGGTTCTTATACATATGGGGTGTTACTCCTACCTACTGATTGTAATTATATTTAATTGTTGTAACTTGAGTATCCATCAGAGTGGCGCTTAAACTGTCAAACACCAAGCGGTCACCGGTGACCGCGACCTATTGTTTTTTAATTGTGTCTATAAAACCGGTACTCGACGAGTTAATCTTGGTCGTAAGTCGTAATAATACTTACATAATAATAATGAAATAATAAAATTACGTACACACGCGATTTACGTCGTCTACTAAAATACAGATGTTATTACCTACTAACGTGTTTCATGAGATTTACTGAGCTATATATTTTTCTGTGACCATCAAACAGTATTGATTAGTACTTAGCCACAATATCAACAATGTCGTGTTATGTCCGCCATTAACTGAGCTTTCCGACTAACAATAATTACAAAATTGCAACCCATTCGTTCTCAAGGCTCACTGCTAATAACATTTGCAGTAGAATAACAAAGTAACACTAAAGAAATATAAACACTCATAAATAATACTTTTAGTAGGAAAAATAAGTGTGTATTAAATCAAACCGAACGTTCCTATAAAGATTATTCATATTTCGCATAAAAAATATGACAGGTTACATACCAATATAAAAATGCAACGGTAAAATGGATTCACGGAAGCGTAGAGCGGTCTCATTCATATAAAATGAATGCCACAATACGACGTTCAACCCTAACATAACTTAGGTTCGCTTTATGTATGAGTGTGGCTTCTGCAGTTGTGGAAAGTAGGGTTGCTAAGCTATTCAAAACGAATAGAATATTAAACGTTGAAAAACTTCAGTCAAAATTATAAAATTGATATTTATTTTGATGAGACGGAGAAATTAAAATAATAAAAATTATGTATACTAGGAAGACCCATCAGATTACCGGGAGAAAAATATAATTAATCCTACCTTCTTATTCGGTTTTCACAAGCCTATGTTGCCTCTGTAGTCTTTGCACCAGAAACATCTAAACCCCATTTCGCGATATTTGCTGGAGAATCGTTAAACGTGTGGGTTTTGTTTTCGGAAATCAATTATCCGGGAGCTGACAGGCTTTATCTTACTTCCATTATCTCTCCTAACTTTTCCGTCTTTCTAAACTTAGGAGTTAATTGAAAAGAACATTCGTTTGGTTTTGACGAAAATTTATTTTTGTTTACCGGGAATTGTGAACCATCAATCAATTGTAGAAAGGCAGTATTTCATTTAGTTATTAATTTAAAGACAATATTTTTTCTTTTTCTTAGACTGGCTGAGTGACCTGGTGTACTTCTTCATTCCCGTGCTGATACTGGTGGTATGCAACGTGGTATTCTTCTCCGTGACTGCGCACCGCATTCGTTCTATTAGACAGGAGACAGCCATCTTGAAAGGCGCGGAGTCCTCGCGAAGTGACAAGCTTAAGAAAGACAAACAAAGGTAATTAATTAACTCTGTACTTTATTGCTTAGCTAGTTAAGTTGTTTTTTTTTTGTAGATTTTATACTATACGCTTTTGAGCGTTTTGTGAAAGTTTATTATTTTTTATACGTAAAAGTCTCGATATTTTTTTGTAGATTTTATACTATACGCTTTTGAGCGTTTTGTGAAAGTTTATTATTTTTTATACGTAAAAGTCTCGATATTTTTTTGTAGATTTTATACTATACGCTTTTGAGCGTTTTGTGAAAGTTTATTATTTTTTATACGTAAAAGTCTCGATACTTATGTAAAATGCTTAAATGATTCAAATAATTATCAATTGAAAATCTAGCAGTAAATATTGGTTAGTATAGTCTATTCTATTTTGCTGAGCAAATACTTATTCTCCATCCAATATGGTTCATGTCGAAAGTTACTGGTAAGGGATTAGTTTAAGTACCTTATAAAACAATGTGGGCGGAAATGAGTGACACGGGTTGACCGAGTACGGAATCTGGATTAAAATGTGCTCGGTGTTAATCAATCAATCGACGTGGAACGATTTCAGTTAAACTAATATACACATACATACATACATAACTTCACGCCTGTCTCCCATTGGGGTAGGCAGAGACTATGGAACGCCAATTACTATACGATTCCTACATACCTCTTTCGCTTTATCAACAGTTATCAATCTTTTCATGCCTGCTCTTCGGTTAAGGGTACGTAGGTAAGGGTTAATTTGGCCCTTCTTTAATATGTATATCGCCAATAAGGCTAGTAGTCCGTCTAGGGCCCCCTCTACCGACGACCCCATTCATATCCGCTCTGTATACTTCTTTCGTAAACGAAAGATATCTACATCTCATTATTCATCAATAAGTATGTCATTAAAATAAATAAACATTACGGTGTACTATTTTAACTCATAGATCGTTCTAGTTTCAATTTCAAGCCTTACAGGGTCCTTTGTCTAGGTAACCTAATTTGAGCTATATTTTCTTTTGCCTATATAAAAAAATCTATGCTAAAACGAGAATCCTACGACGTCATATGTAGCTTTTGTATGCAAACCAGTGCAGGTCGCCAAAGCCACTAAACGAAGTTTGATTGCCTGGATACTACGGACGACACAATCTAATCCCAATGTGTTGCGAATGTAATTTTAACTTCTAAATTGAATGCAAATTTACTTTGTTTGTGTATTCTTTATCCTAATACATAGTTACGACATCAAAACTTTTTAATTCCATAATTTAAGCGTTTACTTATATACCTACTTACCTCTATTTTAGAATGTACTTGAATGCAAAAATATGCATTAAGACCTGCTATCAAGAGATATTAACCTACTGTAATTACCTAGTAAGTCAGATTAGATATGTATAATACGGTATAATTAAAACGGCTCACATTAGTAACTGCTTATCTTCGCATTAACTGCGAAAGAAGGATTAAAAAACCGGCGCTTTTTATATAATGCTTATAAATAAACACTGGCGAGAATAGCCATTAACTAGAGAGATAAAACCGCTGCAGTCATGTTGGTGAATTTGAGTACGGTGCCGTGGCCGTGGGCGTTATTCAAAGACGAAGATACTTATTTCAAATAGAATTGCTTTCTAACTTTTATCTTACCTACAAAACTTTTAAGGATCAGATGGTCTATTTCTTTTCATTTCTCCGCTTTTAGGAAGGTCCTTTTACTTTTTTTTAGACTTGTAAAGATGTATATCTAAGTAGGTGTTATATATAATTATGGTAGGTATATTTGTGCAGTAAATCCTGATGTTAAGCTTACCTACATTTGTAGGCGAACATTGGTCATATGTAAGTTAAGCAGTAAATATGTTATGTTCGTTTGTAGAAGCTAAAATTGTATCGTGATTAAATAACGAAACTCAAAAAAAGAACATGTTAATTTGTCATTTATTAGTTTGTTTGACATTTCTGTTGTGACGTACTTTAGCATCGTTAGCCGGCTAGACAAATAATTGATTCCTTCATTAGTTCGCTATCGATTTCTTGTAGCAGTTTATATAAAGAATTGTGTGGTTATGAACATATTATTTTTAAGCACTCAACATAACATAGGAAAATACAAGGAATTTTGAAGGAAGTTTCGACGAATCCATTTTTAACTAGTTTACCTAGAGTTAACACCTACTTAAACAGGTCATAAAATAGTTCGTTATGGAGAAGTCGTAAAATTGTCTAAATATTCTTATTAAACAGTCATATTTGTGACTGAGCAAGCGTTGTTCATACATGTGTACATACATACATACATATGTACCTCGTGTAACCATTGTGTGAACACTTCCAGAGCGAAAGATATGTTTATTTGTGTAAAATACCAGCTGGCCAGCGTCTTGAGAACGCTCAGTATTTCATAAAGGAACTTCTACAACACGTTAATAAATAATATCTCTAAATGTATCTCTATTCATTTAAAATGATTTCATCGTTTCTACAACTTTTGAAACGTTCATAAAATATAAAACTTACTATTTAATATGTTGGTATATTACTAACAACAGAACTCTTTTATATTACAAGCTTTTATGTTCTAATAATTACAGTAGGCAGATTCTTTACAACGAACCCATTCATATCTTATTTCTATAAAAATAAAAATGAAATCTTCCATAACTCTCGAAACTTGAAGTAGTGCATTAGAGTTGTGGTCGTCACTATTGGGACTAAGTTTACGGAATAAATAAACATTTACTTATACTTACATATGGTATGTCCCACAGTCTGTCCTCTGGGATAAACTATTGGGCATGCAGGCTATTGCTGTGTACTGTGGTTATCTCGTGTCCAACAATTAATGTTTGTGTCCTGTATGAATATAGACTAAGCATTCATAAAACCCACTTATTTAGGTACCTACTCGTACAAATACTTACCAATTTTTTTAGTTTTCAGTTTGTGTATAGGTCCATACCAATAATTCCTTATGTACTTATAAAGGGTGGGCTTTTCCCATTCTCCATTCCATTTTAACACGAATAGTTTTTTTACGACAAAAGATTACGGAATTATATCTGTTCATATAAATCTAATTACTTTATGCAACTCAGTAAATAATTGTATCGCGTCAGTGGGTTGGCCTGATGATCTGTGATACATGTTTTACCTACTACAACAGTCACCAGCCTCAAGTTTAAATATAAAATTGTTGGTATATTTGTAAAAGGTGATGAGAGAAATAAATGAATCTTTATTTAAAAAAAAAACTGATAATTTGATTCAGATCAGCGAAGCAGTGGTAATAAATTGAATCCACCAATTCTCCGCTAATCCTGTCCTCATGAGTATTTTATAATTTTAAATGAAAAATCGTTTTATATTTCAGATACGGCCTCTACCTCAAGCTTTTCATGGTCATGGGAGTGAATTGGACGGTAGAACTCCTGAGTTTTGCAATCGGAGGCTCCAACTGGTATTGGATCATCACCGACATATCGAACATCGGACTTGGTATATTCGTCTTCCTAATATTCGTATGGAAGAAGAAAGTACGCAATTTGGTACAAAAGAGGTATGTTTTTTATTTATTTATTTATGTATTTAATCTTTAATATACACAGAAACAAGGGATGGTACATAAGGCGGACATTAATGCCATATGGCATTCTCTCCCAGTCAACCTTAGAGTTAAATAGAAAATCGGCGAAAAAATAGGCATGTGTAATTAATTATAAAGGACAAACAACATAAACAGACTTATGTTATTTGTCTTCATCTTATCATTACAAAAAGGATTGAGTACATAGGTTTAAGTTTTATTTCAAACAATGGACTATTAGCCGATGTGATATCGTGCACATAGACTGTGAAGTGAATGAATACTCTTATTTAAAAATGAATACGACATTTTTCTCTGTATATCTTTGTATTAAAATAAAATCCCTATTATTTGTAGGCATAACAGTATTATTGAAGCCAATATATTATTCCCCCTGCTCGATGGCTCGATCAAAACTCGGTCGTGTACCAGCGGGCAGTAGCAGCTACCATAGGTGGCGGCGAGGCGTAAGATTTTACTAAAAAAATAACTAAAACCTCATTTCTAAACACGGCCTGTAAACTTACGAATGGATCTAATAAATTAATTTATAAAAATATAATTCTGTTGCTAACTCTGATCGGATTAGGTGTTGATAGACAGATATTAGATAGAGTTTGATATTGCTCAAGTAATATTAATATACCAAAGCACACCATGCCCATGAAAGAACAACAGTCTTCTTCTGCGTATTACAAGTAATCCCACGTCGAATTTCCGTAAGCACACAACTGGGTCTCAAATAAACTGATTTTGTTACAATACCCGTATTCAGTCAATGGTGACAAATATTGACGGGAACTAATACCGCATATGTGTGTGTCTAGTTTGTGTACTCAGTACATAATAAACTAGTATGGGCATGTGTTCTGTGAAAGGGAATTTGTCAACAACACTTGATGTGTTTGCAGAAGATAATATTGTGTCTTTAAATATGTACCTACGGTCGGTACTTACACGAACTGGTGCTTTGTAATCGTTTAAAATTGGAACGCAATTAGAAAGCAACTTCAATTAAAATTATTTGAGGTTGATCATATCTCGGCTGAATGATTTTCATTAAGTGCCGAATATTTTAGATTCTTTCGTGATGAATAAAAACGTTCAATATTCTCAATGGAATGGAAATGTTGCACTTTAAAAAAAGGAGCAAAAAGTATTAGACAAAAGCTTTTTGAAGTCACACTGTGTTTTTGGAAAAATCAAATTAGGTCAAGCGCGTCTTTTTTGTTTTTTCAGTTTTAGAGTAACCGCGGACGGCATTTTGAAATTAATACTAAAAGTTGTACAGATAGGTAGGTAAATAGATAGGTAAAACGCGTTTATTGATGTTTATAATAAATAACGACTAAATATCACGCACGCGTGTTTTGTACCAGCACCACGTTGACACGGTTTTGAAATAAAAACTTAATCCTAATAACAGAAATAAGCTCTAAAATACACGTAATACTTACATCCTTTCAAAATTATAAAATAAAACACATTTATAACGACTCTTAACATTTTGGACCTAGGTACCTGAAAGCTATTTAATATTTCATATCATCATACAGGAAACGAAAGAAAAATATTTTTATTAAACCAAAAGCATGTTTACGAAAAATATTCAGTTGGTTATTAAAAAGTGGTTCAATTCGGTACCTAAACTGTTGACAATGATTAATTTTTAATATGTCTCATTAGAGTTATACCTAATACAAAGATTGATCAAATTAGATCCGTTAACAAACAAAATTATCACAAAGTAATTATTTATATCATAATATCATAAGTGAGAAACAAAATATGCATTTGCATTGGAGTCACTTTTTGTTTAATTTCTATTGGTAAATTTTTCCCATAGATTCCGCAGCATCTTCGGTCTACCGACAACGGAACACGACCAGCGCACGGGCAAGTGGAACACCACCAGCACTGCGCCTACAGAAGACACGCGCATATCTACCGACGATTCTGCTATGCGACTAAAAGATATGCACTAATCATTTAGGTGAGGTTTTTGATACATACGTGGCACAGATCTAAAGAGGCTCTCGATCATTCATACCTTTTTTCTGATGATGGGGAAAAACCTTCAAAATCTCTTAACTTTTTGAGTAAAAAAGTATTTTTGGTATTCTTGCTTCAATAAAATCACCCCGGTGGCCATTCATCCAACAGCACCCGAGGTAAGGGGTATCGGGTCGTCTCTGAATAAACTATCTGACATTTTTTTATGGCATAAGCCGGTAAACTAGACGGATCACCTGATGGTAAGCAATCGGCGTCGCCCATGGACACCTGGAACACTAGAGGCGTTACAAGTGCGTTACCGGCCTTTTGGGGATTAGGAGTTTGAGGATCGTTGGGGATTCTGGAATTAAGAGATTAGAGATTAGGTAATTGGGCCTCCGGTAATCTCACTCACACGACGAAACACAACGCAAGCATTGCTTCACGTCGGTTTTCTGTGAGGCCGTGGTATCACTCCGGTCGAGCCGGCCAATTCGTGCCCAAGCATGGCTCTCCCACACTTGTCTTTTTTCATACCAGGTCTGTTTTAAAAAGGTTACCAAGTCAAACCCATGGATCCCTATGTTTTCCAATTATCCGTTTTTCCACAAAGTTCAATTTCGATTGTAATAAATAATTACCTTTTTTTTCTTTACAGATTCATAAACATGACAAGCACCAAAGAATTCTCATGAACCTCGGATGCATCACAATCATAAAACCGCTAGTCAACACATTCAAAAATTAAGTTACGGCGTAGTTAAGCGCTTTAGTTAAAATTATTTAATGTGTTATTATTTTTATATAAGGTTAGATAAGTCATTAAGTGGTTCACGTGTTTTAAGTTTTAATGTAAACAGAGGCTTCTGTAGAGGTGTTAACGTATAGGTAATGCAAGGGGTGCGGTGAACTCCGGTACACCTGGGTGCCATAAGATAGTAGTGCCGGCGCCAGGTATTACGAAGACGCCAAAGCGTCACTCGCATAAAAAGCTGATCCACAAAACACATTAATCACATGCGAGTCTTTTTGAGCAACCGAGGCCCTGCCTGGCACTACAAGGGCTAAAGAGGCCCCTGCCACAGCCATAATGTAATTACCCATGAGCATTTATTTATTTAGATTTATAGTAGATAATTATATTCACCAAAAGCTATATCCAATAAATGTAATTTACCTCCCTAAGTTTAAGTTTTATATTTACATCTACCTGATGGTAGCTACTGAATTTGTTAAAGTGGCGAGTTGGATGCATAATTGAGTATTAATGTTTTAAGTAGTTTTCATTAAATTCAACCACCTAAATGTTAGCCTAAGGTGCTTTGTTTGTTATTATTTCTTTTGTTTCAGGGCCTTTTATGAAAACAAACTAAGTACCTATCTAGTACCTACCTATCTAAGGGCGTTTAAAAGTCAGTAATTTTGATTGATATTAGAAAAAATTATGTTTGAAATCAAGACTATTTTGTAGCTACCCTACAACACTAGTATGGGGTCAAGGACTCTGTAGTTATAATAAAATTATAACTTACGTATTTTTATTACGAAAAATCTTTATAATTGTAACAAACTATAGTCACTAAAATACGTGCCTGTCGTTGCTTTAGATAATTTAATTAAGTATTAGCACAGTACAAAAATGTTTATTACTTAAGTACCTATGAATAGAGATATAATAAGTTGGAACCTTACCATTACGTAGTACCTACAATTTTTATTGTGTGCATGTGTATTATTTGTAATTTTAAAATAAAATGTTAGCTAAAATTATTTAGTTTTATTTGGAAAGAAATTGCCGATCAGGCTATTATATTTTCGCCACTTGAGGTATTCGGCAGCAGCACCGGCTCGACACGCTGCGTTTGGAAGATGGGAAGGCGCAAGAGTATCACCGCAAATGGCGTCCCATACTTAAGGCCTACCCTGACCCATCTTCCAAGGGAATAAAGACATACCGTCGGGTCTCTTGCCATCATCGTGTACCAAGCTATTAGGCTCTAAGCTGGTGCGCCGACAGAGACAAGAGTCCGACGAACAATGTCCTTAATGCTTGTGTTTCGAGCACAACGGCCTTTACTGCGGCTTGTCGTGTACAAGCCGTGGTGTCCAAAGCTGTTGACATTTTCACCACAATTACAAAATGGAGCTCTTATTCGGAAACATATTGAAGCGCGGAATGTGGTGTCGTCCAACAAAGTGCCTAAGTTGGACGAAGGCACAGCTAGAAGCCATAGTCCCGGCTCCCATTCACCCACACGAGCGCGAGCTCGCTCCGCAGAGCGGCTCATCCTATTGCCTCTGGGGAAATAGTTTGACGGGAGGGTCAATATAAATTTGGGACCAAAACAACAAAACCGAATGCATATTAATTTGATAAACCTTTTTGAAACGTCAGATAAATTTTGAAGTGTATCGTTTATAAAGGCATTCTTAATGTCAACCTTCAGGCTCACTTCTCCTTTCCTGGAATTGAGGTAGGTAGAAAAGACATGCCAAACCCATAAACCATAGTCAAGTTGAAAGGGCTGAAAATTCGAAATATAAACACTATAGAATTTACAATAAATCTTGGCTGCCATACGATGATAAGTTTTTCCTACGGCAATGGGACGAATACGGTCATCCTTCTTGCGCAGGCCATATATGTAGATTGGCCGCGCACTAAACATCGATGGCGGATTCGTACACATTGCCGGAGAGCATGAGGTTGATCAAAACCATAAGCTCCTTCAGCAGCGTCACGCCGGACTCCCTTGCGCTTGAGCTCGTCAGATCATTTAAGATGCTGCGGCGGCAAACCGTCGAGGCCTCCGGCAGAACCGCTCCGGAAGGAGCGTGTGGCAGTGACCACTTGTCGACCTGTATTCGATAAATTATAAATAAATATCTGCTTCTGGAGGATCCGGAAAAGAGAGACCATCTACTGGGGCTGGTTTGCCCCCCAGAGCTTTAAGCGTATCTGAAGAACAAAGAACCAGTACGTCATTACTGAAAAGAATTCTGGCTGCGCCGTTTACATCACCTTCACCTATTTTGGCCTCAACTAAATCAAACTTTTTGTTGAGGCATAGCTGCAAGCCGGTAATTTATGGTTGAATTGGGAAGCTGAAATGTAATTTTCTTTAATTTGTTTAGTTACAGAATTTTAAGAGCTTTTTTGAAGATGCAAATTTTTTTAAGGGAAGGTTAGGATTTGCGCCTAGGCGCGTAACGCGTTCTCTTGTGCTGTCAGACAGACACTATTTGCTAACTGTTGCGCAATTAAAGATCTGGCACCACGGGGAACACGTTTATGCACAGAGATAATTTTTTTTAAATTTTGATAATTTTTTCCAAAGGGGGTCTGTCGAAATTAGTGGAGTAGTATTGGTAACGGGGCTGAACGTACTTTGAGATTTGTGAACACATCCAATATGTACACACGGCTACACATCGATCTTTACATAACCAGTATAACCTGAACGTTAAATGTAGGGAAGATGATGCGACGCGACACCAGGATAAACTGGTTTTGTATGTATAGATTGATGTGTGGCCGTGTGTACATTCAGCCCTCGCTTAACTTTAAAAAAGCGAGACTGGGAACATAGCGGGCATCTTTTCAAAGAATGCTGCGATGCCAAAGGGTGACTACCAATTTAAACCACAGTCCACACTCGCAGTTGTGGCCGACATAATACAAGAAAAGGAAATACACTTATTATAGGTACTAAATAAAAGAAGAATAACAAGAAAATTAAATAAAATAATATAAGAAAAGTATCAACCGCTTGTCACGTAGTCAAACCTAGTCAAATGCAGTTACTGTTTTCAAAGCGACAGCGATGGCGTAGGACGCCGCGCCTCCACACCGCCCATGTCCACAAAATGCTAATAAGCTTGTAGTTGTAGCTGTACTTGTTGATCCAAATCCAAACCTAATGCTTTGAGTTGAAGTTGTGCTGCCAAAACCAATATCTCCAAGCCCCCCTAGGCCTGTGCTAGCAGACTGATGTTGCAGGGGTGCCAACAAATGATAGACCCAAGAATGTATTTAATAAGTATTGGGGTAGATAGATCTTAACTAGAAGAGGCAGTTTCCCCTATACTTATTATACTCTTTGGAGGCAGTGTTGGAATCAGCACCAAAATTGAATTTGAATACTTTTATAACTTTATTACGTATACGTAAAACAAATTGTCCAAATTGACTGCATTGAATTGTTAGGGGTTACAATTCAATGCAGTCAATAGGGTAGACGACTAATTTTTATTTTAATGTCCGTCTGATAGATTATTAAGACTGCCTCGTTGACCGAGTGGTCGCAAGTGCGACTGCCGGGAAAGGGGTCTCGGGTTCGATTCCCGGGTCGGGCAAAGTATTACTGGGTTTTTAAAAAAAGGCTCAGTAGTAGCACGGAGTCTGGAATTGTGCCCGGTATATGGCAATAGGCTCACCCCCTATTACGTGGGACTCATAACATAAACATGAAAAGTGGGTGTTACTTCTATGTGCACCTCTGCCTACCCCTTTGGGGATAAAAAGGCGTGATGTTATGTTATAAAAAAATACGTGTCTAATATTTTTTCATTACCTAACTTACGGACTAATTATATTTTCAATTTTCATACCCTGTCATCATCCCCATTTATAATTACTATTAGAAAACTTAAAAACTGTCATAGAGTTCACCTTGCTCTTTGATATTAGTAACTTATTTGTTTTATACCACATTGGATTTTAGAAACTCAGGAGACAGGAGAAATAAAGAGTACCACCATTACAATTCACCTTATATTGTTAACATCGAAATCCAATTACAAATTCAGAACTAGCTAAACCATAACTATTAATTGGAAAGAAAAACAACAACAATAACACATGAATAGGCAAATTGACTTTCAAATAGAATAAAATTCCCTCAACACCAAATACACCGTCTCAATAATTTCCGAGTTCCCGCCATCTTGACTTTTTCATTGTTCGAACCACAGATTATATTTTCCCGCT